AGAAGGGTCAAGAGAGGAGGGACGGCAGAAGTGACATGCTAGAGGCAGGCAGAGAAGGGGTTCCTGAGGCCCTGGGGCTCCGACTCTACATGGTGGGTTTTGAGGAGGGCCTAGTATAGAGGGGAAAGACGGCCAGACCCAGGGCAAGAGTGAGACGGCCAGACCCCGGGCAAGAGTGAGGCTGGGAGACGTGCCGCCTTCTTGTGAATTTCCCTGGGGGCGGTCTTAATTCCAGATTGAATCGAGTTCATCTTCTTTTCTCTAGCCTTGCTCCAGGATGTTCCAGGGAACACAGTGAAGGGTCCCCCAAAGGAGAAGTACCCAGAGGGGCGTTCATAGGGAGAGCCTGCCACGGAGATGGGACTTGGAGTGGCAGGTCCAAGAGCTGTGGCCTTGAAGCCCCAACCCTTCAGGAGCAGGCCCTGCAGGCCAGCTCGGAGACATCAGAGCCCCTTTGCGGTAAGGAGTCCCTCTTTGCCTGTCAGTCTCCCAGGGCACCTAGGGATGGGGCTGTAAGAGGAGAGCAAGGTGGTCTCTGGGAAGAAAGCCAAACAGCCTCGGCAAGGACTTGCACCGTATAAACTCAGTCTGGCATCCAAAAACAATGCAACAGCTATGTGAAAATTTACTGTTGCCTCTTGAGAAAACACTTAATGAGGCATTGCATTCATAATGCAGCAAAACTTCTTACAACTCAGCATTTCCCAACTTCCTCTCAGTCTCCCCCACCAGTGCCCCCGTCCCCTACGCCCTCCTTCCCAAGCCTCAGCCCCACTTTCCCAGCACAGGTCTCCCTGCCTGCCTCCCTCTTCTGTTCAGCCTCTACTCCCAGCAGCTCTTCTGTGCCCTTTTCCACCTTAAATCCAAGGAGGGGAAGGAGCCAGATTCTGAGAGGCGCCGTCACTGGGAGACCAGCAGGAGACAGGAATTGAGAGCAGGCGGTGAAAAAGGCCCCCAGCCTTTACAGCGCCCCTGACTTCAGGCAGGCGTGGACCCTAAAGTCAGGACAGGAGTGGGTGCTTACTGAGCTGACATAGCCCCTGCCCTTGGTGCTGATCACGGGGCTGCACTTGGGCACACGGCTCTGTGCCAAGGCCCCTAAAGGCAAAGTGCTCAAGCTCTGAATCTCAGCTCCAGGCTCCACACTGTGATCACTTGGGGGGCAGGGGGCGCTTAGAGAAAACCCTGACTCCATGGGCCCAGCACCAGGAATCATGATTTAATTGGCCTGGGTGGAGGCCCAAGGAATCCAGAGGCATCAGTTATTTTAAAATCTCAAGTGATTCCAATGTGCAGCCAGGAATGAGATCCATTAGACTAATCAATTGCCTGGGAGAGCACCCTGGAACCTGGGAGATCCAGGCCATAGCCCAAGGCACAGCAATCCTTCCCCCTCCAGCTGCTGTCCTGATCCCCCTGGAGGAAGAAGAGGAGGCACAGGATAACGTGAAACAGAAGATGGAGCCTTACTCATATCCATCAAGCAATCACATATTCAATAACTGCTTAATATGAGTGCTGCGGGGGAAATGGTAGAAACTAACTGAGGCATCTGTTTAGATGGGGCAGCCAGGCTTCTCCGAGGAGGTGACATGGAAATCGAGACCCGAGTGACAAGAAGGCACCTGCCCTGTGAAGGTGCCGGGGCGAGCAGCGGGAACGGCAGGTGCAGAGGCCCTGTGGAAGCAGCCAAGGGGCCCGGGGCTGGGGGCATCCTTGATGTAGAAGAAGCCAAGGGCTGAAGTCTGCCGGGCAGGGGGTACATCCTGGGGGATCTTGCAACTCAGGAAGGGCATGCCTCTTATGCTCAGTTCCATGGGAAGCTCCTGGGAGGTTTTCAGGAGGGATTAGCAGGACCTGATTTGCGTTTCTAAGAGACATTCTGGCTGGGATGGGAAGGGTGGCTGGTGGGAAGCAGGATGGAGGCCCGTGAACAGTCCACTCCGGCGAGGCGGGGGTGCGCTCGGCTCCTCCACATGGGGGAATGTAGGTCAGGCAGCCCAGCCCCCTCAGCCAAGCTGCCAGGGCAGCCCCCTCGCCTGTCAGAGAAAGAAGCCAACTCTGAGATGTGTGGGCTCCACCGAGAGATCAGTGTTGGCAGAGGAGACAGAGATAACAATCGCCCAGGTGCAGGGGATCTGGGCCGCTGCCTGGGGCCCCCTCTGTCCCTTTCCTGGGATGCCCTCCCCCATCCTGCCACCTCTCCAGGATCCCCCGAGTAGGCCAGCCCAGGGGCAGGCCTTGTGGGTGCCTGGAGCAGGCAGCCATATTTTAAGATCAGGGCTCAGACCTCTAAATAAACCATAAACACAGCCAGCTTCCCAGGCACAGAAGGAGGGAGATGACTCCATTTCTCTTCAGTGCAATGATTGGGAAATAAACCAGTGGCTCTGCCTGTCACACACACTTAGCCCTCTGCGAAGGCGGCTGTCAGACCCAGAGCCTCTGCCGCGGCCTTCGCAAGAAATAACTGATGTGCCCCAGACCCCGGCTTCTCCTTGGGGCACCAAGTTCACAGGCGGGCGGGCGTGGGGCCTCGTCCTTGATCCCAGGAAAGGCTGACAAAGGGTAGGAATGGACACGGGGCCCCTGAGGGGCTGGGGCCTGTCTCGGTCAGCTGCTGGAGGAGACCAGGGAGAGGGAGAGAGGGAGGGAAGATACTAAGAAGGGGGCAGAGGGAGGCTGGCCAGAGCAGAGGCAGAAAAGAGGCTTGTGGACCCCATCGTGGAGATGGTGGGCACTTCGGGGCCCTGGCAGAGCCCTGGTGTCTGCAGGCATGTGGGTGGCCGTGGGTGTGGGAGAAACAAAGAGAACCAAAAGGCGGGAGGGGGCGGGGGGAGCTCTCTCTCCATGGGTGAAATCTCCCACGACCACAAAGGAAGAAGGAATGAGCAAGAACAAAAGCAGACAGGAACAGAAGGAGGCAGGCAAATAAATAGAGCAGGGGAGGGAGGAGAGCCACATAGGCATCAAACCCAAGAGCTTCTGGGGGAGAGGGACCCTCCAGATGGAAAAGGTGATTTATGCTTTAAGCTCAACTAGGAGAAGAGTCATGGGCAAGGCCAAGGCCACGGGAGTGGCCGGGAGCAGATGCCATGCTGCAGAAGCCACGCAGACACGTGGTGGTGAAGCAGAAGCGAGGCTGTGAGCTTCTGGGCAGCCCAGAGCCAGGCAGGGCACAGTGAGGGGATGGGCAGAAGGGCAGAGAGAGTCACAGGCACTGCTGCTAAGGGCGCCTGCAGAAGGGGGGGTCTCACAGCTGCCACCAACTCAAGGTGAGGGAGGGGGTGGAAACATGGCGCCAACACACTGATCATGCATGCATTTACACAAACACACCCTCGGCAAGGGTTGGCGCACTCTCAGCAGCACTCCTACGGAGATAAAAGAGACCCAGGGGCCCCCAGACGGCGGGTTGGCCAGGTGCGGGGAGAGCCGCAGACTTCCAGTGATAGGTCCAGCAGACCAAGACAGAAGACCTAAAAGAAAGACCCAAGACCACTGACCCAAAAGAAAGAGAGACAGAGACAAAGACAGCAGGTCCCAGATTCTCCCTCGCCCTCTCTTTGTGTGTGTCTCTCCATCTCTGTCTAGTCTGTCTCTCTCTCTCTCTCTCTCACACACACACCTCCCTCTCTAAAAACTTCAGACAAGAGAAAGGAAGCTCGTGTAGCCTTTTCCACACTACTCTCCCTCCCACCTGCTTCCTCAGGATCCCCGTGCCTGCAGAAGCCTGTAGGAACGTGAGTGTGGAGCCCTGGTGCAGGTAACAGACTTGCACACACAGCCCCCCTCCCCCACACCCAGAGGCAGGCGGCGAGCACAGCGACAGGGCTGCTGCTGCTGCTGCTGAGTCGCTTCAGTCGTGGCCGACTCTGTGCGACCCCATAGACGGCAGCCCACCA